AGAGGGAGGAGGAGGGGAGAAGTTTCGCGATGACGATCGGTGGTGGAAAGAAGATCCCGCATCCCCAACCTCGCTTCCAGCATCACTGGCAACAACCCCTCCTGGCAGCCTGGAACAATGGAAACAATACATTGAAATGAGAAAGTTGGTTTGCATTGTCGGACAGCAAGCGGACGCGGCGCGGTGCACCGCGGAGGGGAACACCGCCTCGCGTCTGTCTACCTTCTAACCGCGTCCCTCTTTCTCCATTCCCAAGCTCTCTTACCCTCCCTCCCACGTTTTCCACGCTCGTTTTTTCCATTCGCGTCTCTGCCTTTTACCCTTTGTGCCTGTGGGCTACGTACGTGTGCCCGATTCTTTCTCTCTCTCTCTCTCTCTCTCTCTCTCTCTCTCTCTCTCTCTTCCATATCCCCTCTGCATAAACCTACGCTCCTTTCTTTTTTTCTCCTTTCTTTTGCCCCCCCCTTTTTTTCCCTCCGCGAGGATCCCCGCCTCGTTCCCCATCGGCCGGCTGAAAGAAAGGATTGTAAACCGGCGGATGAGCCGCGGATTCCGGAATGGGGACTGCTCCATTCGCCGTTTCCTCTCTTGTACGGGTGTCGCGCGCGAGCTCGAGCCTCGGATGGATGGATGGATGGATGGATGGAGCACGCACGACGGGCGGAACGCGAGCATCGGCAATTAGTCGGGGGAGGGGGCGGGATATGTCTCCTCTTCCCTTCCGAGCGCATTTTAATAAGTTAATCGGGTCGCTTCCACCCCTCTCGGGCGATCCCTCCCTCCAGGGATGGGCCGCATACCAGCCGCATTCTCTCGAGAAGCGAGAGAGAGGGAGAGAGTGGATGGAATTTTTAAGATGTTTTCCTATCGACGGTGTTCGAGCGAAGATACTTTTTAAACAATGGCTCCGGGAAGAGGGAGAGGGAACAATGGCGGGGAATACAATAACCGCGAATGAACGCTCGGCCGTGTGCGGTTTTTTTCAAGTGTCCCATTCACGGCGCGATACGGACGCAAGTTTCCAGCAACGCGTAAACTTGATCGCTCGTGATATTTTTCACCCCGACGACACAACCGTGAAATTATATAACGATTTCTGCAGCATCCCCAGGTTGCTGCTGCTGCTGCACGCCGCAGATAAAAAAGTTGCGCCCGTTTAAATCGTGACGAGTTACGAGTCTCGTAGAGTGTTCGTTTCGGTGGATCGATTATAATTTTCGAAGTATAATTTTCCAGCCTTTCTTTTTTTTTTTTTCTTTTCTTGGACAGAACTTTCCAGGTCGAACTTCAGAACTTCCCGTTCGATGTAAAAAAAGTCTCGGCGCAAAATTCATCGTCGGCCAATCGAATTTTTAGGAATCGTTTTCCGCGGTTTCTGGTTGGAACGTGTCGCGAAATTACGAAAATTTAGCACGGCAATTTCGAAGAAAGAAAAAAACCGCAAATCACTGTCCGCGCGATTCGCAACGGTCGTTCATATTTCACCCCCGTCCGTCAATCTCGCGATTCATTTTTCAGCATCGGCGAGTTTTAATTTTGATTCGCCGTGCGTACGTACATTCGAGGTTCGTCGGCGGACGAAACGAGGAGCGGAGAGGGAGCGAAGGAAGGAAGAAAGCGAGAAGTGAAAAGTGGGAGGGGGGAGTGGAGAAACTTTGATCCCCGTGCCGTTGATGAACGCGAAACATAACGGTCGGAAACGAGATTGGTTACACGAGCGCGCTTAAAGAAGAAGAAGAAGAGGAAAGAAGACGAGGAAGAAGGAGGAAAGCGTGGAGGGGACTGTTGGGCGCTGTTGGCGAGGGATGTTGACGCAAAGCATTACGCGGATGGTCGATGGACGGTCGTCGCGTCTCGTCTCTCGAACGAGGCAGCGGAGAAACAGTGGTGTGCAGAGCTCGAGAGGAGCTCTTCCAATGACATCGAGGGTCGACTAAGGTTAGGCCACTCAACGTATCGCGTACAACTCGCTGCGGGGTGGCGGACGCACATTCACATGCGTGCCCGAGAGTGTGCCACGGACGCTCGTCTCCACTCTCCCTTTTCTCTCCACCGTTACACCCGCATCCCCGAGTACGTCGTCCCGAAGAGGGTGGTTCTCGAGTACCTGCCGTGCGGCGGGGCTTCGCCTCTCCTCCTTCTCTCCTACTCTCCTCCTCCTCCCCACGTAGCCGTCTATTGTTTAGTTATTCCGATGAGCCAGTACATTTCAAATACACTCGAGCGGGGCCATTATATCGGGGAACGCATCGCTTCCTTTCGCCAACCGGCCACGTGCGCGTGCCGCCCTCTCCCCCTTACCCCCCTACCCTTACTTCGTCGTCGCGATCCTCGTCTCGATCCGGATAGGACGCGGCGTTAATTGGACGCAACCGCGAAGGTGCGTGGCACGCTTCAAAGGCATCCCTCCTCCCTTCACGTGATATCCACTTCACGTGCAAGGACCTCGTTGATTCTTCGTCGTAAACGATTCCTTTCTCTCGGATGGGGATGAAACGTTGTTGCGCGTACAAAGAAAGCGGAGAATTGGACGGGCCGTTTGTTAAAGAAAGTTGTCCCTCCCGTTGTATTTCTCTCTTCTTTCTTTCTCTGTAAAGTTTGTACATGTGTATAATATATATATATATATATATATATATATATATATATATGTATATAGTTTTATTTTCGCTTGTCGGCCAACCAATAATACCGCGCGCGGAAGGTTTCCCGTCCCCCCCCCTTTTTTTTCTCCCCGCTCGGCTTTCTCTCCGCTCGGCCGTTGCTCCTCTTCCTCCTCTATTTCTCTTTCTTTTGTTCTTCTATTTTATTCGAGCTAAAAAGCTGAAACGGTGAATAGACACGGAGGAAAACGCTTTTTATTCGATCAAAAGCGTGTTTTCACTTGTTAGCGCGTGATTATATGCCATTATTCGAAATTGAAAATACCACTTTGGCGAGCGAGCTCTTCCGATTTCCTTTTTTTTTTTTTTTTTTTTTTTTTTTTTTTTTCATCCAGCGCGGGAAGGGAAAATGGAATTACCGTGATACTCGATTCTCTCGATGTTAATCCGGATTATGAGTCCCGCGGCGGACGGCGAGGAGGCGGAGCCTGAGAATGGTACAACAAAAAAGCAGGCAGAATATGGAAATTTCTCGTAAACTTTGCAATTTCCACTTCGTGTTCCCTCGGTTGAGTTCTTCGTCGTTAATTGAACCTCCATCCTTCAACCGATTTCTTTTCTCTCCATCTCCTCGTAAACGAAACGTGTGATTTTTAAAAGAGAAAACGGAAGGAAGCGATATCATTTCGAAGGCGAAGCGAGTAGGCAATAACGTATCGAAAGAGAGAGGGAGAGATCTGACGTTGTAGAAAATTAAATTTTTCCTTTATATAACGTACGAACGAAGAGTATAGAGTTACGCCGGTGATGGGGCAAGATTCGCTCTTTTTTTCTTTCGAGGAAAAATTGTTGCGGTGATTCGAGCAGGATGTAGGTCATAAGGTATTACCGTCTGCGCGGAACCGAGAACCTTTTAGAAAGAACGAGCGGCGGAGGTTGAAGAAATCGCGAAGAAAAGAATACCGGACTTTTTCTTCCTCCGAATAATACAACTCTCGCGAAAGACGGTTTTTTTTCCTTTTTTCCTCGGAGAAAGAATAAACGCACGGAACGATCAAGTTTCGAAGATCGTTGGGAGGGCGGTTCAGTTTCGAGCGCATCTTGGAAACAATCCAAACAGGAGACGGTAAAAATTCTCGATATTATTCGAAAAGTCTGCCTTTCCTTCGCGAGGATAAAGATTGTCGCGTCGCGGCCAAACGAAGCTTCCGTTTGAAGCTCCCGTGCCAAGAGGAAGTTAATTAACGCCGACTTCTCGCGGGGAAGAAAAATGTTCCTTGTTCCACCTTCGCGTTGGATTGCATTATCTCTCTGCGAAATCTTATCCTTTCTCGAAACTACCACCAAAAGAGAGAGAGAGAGAGAGGAAAGAAGAAAAGATAACTGTTTCGAGTTGTTCGATTCTACGATTAATCCACGCGGGATGGAGTAGAGATTCCGTAATAATAATGGAAATGGGTTTTTCCTCGAGAGGTGAGGCGAAAGCGTGGACATTATTAACTAAAATGTAACGGCGCATAGGGGCGAAGTAGGCGTGCCCTATTCGTTGCACGTTCCTCCGGGTATTGGGCGCAGTTCGTTGGGCCGGCTTCCAGATGGGCAATGTTGGACGGAATGCGGAATACATCGAGGCGGGCAGGCATTCCTACTTAAATCAACATAACTCGGGTGATGAATGGTTAACAGGGTTCGCGGGGGACGCAATGCGCTCCATTTATGGCCAGCTATTACGCCCGAATTTCAGCGTTAAATGTGTGATTTATGGCCACCCGTATTATCTTCGTTCGTGTCCCGTCCGCGATACACTGCTACCCCCTCCAACGCCGCGCTACTACATTTCGGGAAATTACTTTGAACTCGGCAACCCGGGCGAAAAAAATTCATCAACCCTGGCGTCCCGACCGTGATTAATGCCCTTCTAACTGCCGATTCAAACCGGTAAGGAATATTTATCTTCACCTAGATCGCCGGACTACCAATAATATTTATAAGTTAATGTTCAACAATGTCGATATCTATCGAACGATTACGAATTTCTTTAGTTTACCATTATGGATTTTTCTTCTATAAAACGATTTTTTTAACCGGAGAAGCAATTCGAAATCTGCGAGTCGTAAAAATTCCCAGATCTAGCAACTAACTATTATATTCCGAGAATACTCCATCCTCCATTGTTCCTCGTCGTCCCTTTAGAAATATCGTCAACGCGAGGTCGCAGATCTAATTACCAAACGCGTACACAATATTAATATTCTCGCTCCGTCGTAAGACGAGGTAAAGCGCGAACGTGTTAAGTTTGGAAGGAGAAGAAGCTCGGAGAAAAATTCGTTGCTCGTTTCGAATTTTGAAAGGAAGCGAGGTAGGAGGATATATAACGCGTAACTGGTTTTGTTACAGGTTGCGACGCCTCGTACGAGATGCAGGGGCCAAGCTTCGTGTCGGAGCCACCGTCGCGGGTGGAATTCACGAACGTGAACGGGGGCCGAGTGGACTGCATAGTGAGGGGAAATCCGGCACCCACCGTCGACTGGCTGGCGGCGGACGGTGGCAGTATAACGAGTATCCCTGGGATCAGACACGTCCTTGGCAACGGGACCATCCACTTTCCCGGCTTCGAGGCCGAGGTCTTCCGACAGGACGTCCACTGGGCTATTTATAAGTGTTCCGCCGTCAACAGCGTCGGTGGCATCGTTAGCAGAGACGTCACTGTCAGAGCAGGCACGCGAAACTTCTCCCTCGTTATCTGCGTTACGCCGTCCTATCCTATCCTATCCTCTCCTGCGCTCCCCCTCGCGAGCAACTTCCCCTTTCGCCGTCGTTTCTTTCATCGGTGAAGGGGGAAGGAAGAAGAGGAAGCGAAGAGAAGAAGGAAGCGAGATCGCGCGCCGATATGGAGATATTTGTCGCGTCTTCCTCAGTAGTTTGCTCGTCTTGCGGTTTCTTCATCTCAGCCGATGGCGCGTATATACCTCGGAGACTCCCCTCGTTTGGGGAGTATAAAAGTTTGTGATGGCCGTTGAAGGCGGAGAAAATATTCGTCGCGCGTTCGACGGGATCCTCGACGACGTTTTACATTAAACATCCCCTCCGCGGCCGCGTGAAACGAACGCGGCAGTTCCGTTTCCTTACACGGAATAATTCATCCTCTCGATCGGAAGATGGTACGTCCTCGATGCTATGAAATATTTATTCCCATCGGCCCCGTGATTTGCTTCGTACCCGGCTTTGATGCATCCGCCCACCCTCCACGCTCCTTCCTCCCTTCGTTCTCCTCCATAACAGGAGGAGACGCGGAGAATACGGGCTCGTCGTTGATGGTTTGTCCGTCGAAAATCGTGACACGTTGTTGAAACGAACGGAACGAACACGTTTTCCTTTTTTTCTTTCTTTTCTTTCCTTCGTCTAGTTTTCCTTCTTCCTTCTATTATTTTTCTTTTTAACGGCGCCGCGAGAAATCCCACCCTTCCTCGATTGGAAATTGGTTCCAACTTTTTCATAAAAAAAGAAGATAAAATATAATCCGTCTTATCCGAAGCTTCGCCCTCGACGCGATCGTCGTATCGCCATTAGAACCACCGCAGCACAGGTTTGCAGGAAAATATATTCATGGCTGTTGGTTGTTTACTCTGGTTGTTTTACGGGACGAGCCGACTTGAAAAACCGAAATCCGTGAGACGATATAGGGATGGAATATATAGGGGGAGAATGGAAAGAGGTGTCTCCGCGAGGAGGCGTCTTAAAAATAGAAGTTGGTCCGGGTCAACGAACCGGAAGATATCTTATCGACCTAATATGCCCGTAAATCATCGTCGCGTGAACATCGTAGCCCATACCTTTTCTTCAGATTCATGCCCGCTACCCCCCCCTGCTACGTCAGCTTCTGTCACAGCAGGGCCTTCCTCCTCCCCCCTCCCACCCTTTGTTCCTTCGAGTCTCCACACTCCTTTCGATCAACTTCGCTGACTCCGTTCCTTCCCTGCGCCGAGAAAAGTCTCTCTCTCTCTCTCTCTCTCTCTCTCTCGAAAGAAGCGATGGATATAAGCGTACTCCTCGAAGCAAAACGGATATGATTAGGCCATACCCGGTTGGTCGCGGTGGCTTACGTATGCATTCGAGGCGAGCAACCCGCTGACTGTGCTCGAATCGCGAATCGAATAACAACAATGGAGATCCCCTTTCCCAAGCTTCTTCGTCTAACTGCATCCCAATCTCGATCCCTCGTACGGCAACACGTACGGCTCGTACGGTCGGCCAGGATTTGTCGCTCGCCCAAATAATTTTACGAATAAGGCTTTCCAAGTAACGAGGCTAACTATATGTACGTATAGGTTAGATACCTATATATAGGTATCTAAGGGGAGTGGCGTGAAAAGAAACTTTGGTCGAACCTTCGGAGATCGTTCGGTCGTACAATTTCAAATTTTTACGAAGAGCGAGTATTCGTAAACTGTTTAAAATATTTTGCCGTCGTAAGGAGGATGGTTGATCGATCCTTTTTTTTCTTTTTTTTTTTGGCACCCTAAACGTTCCGCTTTAGGATCGATAAAGTATACGGTGATGTATACTAGCCTGATAAAGCGCGGGATAAAGTTCCCTCGAGGAATAAATTCGTAGCCGACAAGTAGCCCCGTTTAAACCCGTCTTGCGCGCACCAAACGTCATCTCGCGGACTTAAAGCGCGCAAGATTCCCACACGTCCTTTGTGCAACCCCCTCGTATTTTCGGTTTCCTTTAACTAATTTAAAGTGCCATCCTCGTGTGGCGCGCGCCAAAGAACTTAATTAAAGTTCTCGAAAAAGGAGAGGAGGAGGGAGAGAGGGGGAAGAGAATTACGTTTCGTTAAGAAAACGTCCTGGCTGGGATAATAAAATAAAAATTACTTTATACCGTTTCGAGTGATAGCTCTCTGGGACAGCCTCGTTCCTCCCCTCGTTACCTCCACGGTCAGAAAAATATTTGCCTCCCCCGAAACAACGATAGTTTCCTCCAGTCGGTGGGAAGATGGCGAGAAGGAAAAACCATTCGGACCCGAATGAATATCGGAGGAGGATAAAAAGTTGGATCCTCGAAGGAGGAGAATCGAGTCTGTAGCGAGATTACCGTTTAATATCGGAGCTCGCCTTTCGAGAACGCCATCGAGTGAAGGAAGCTCGAGGGGAGAAAGGGGAGCTTAACGACGTTTGTTAACAAAAACAACAGGCAAACCGTATTGTTCGCTTTCACCGATAGCGGCGTGCCGCTTTTCAGCTCGATCACGACGAGGCATTCGTCCGATCCCACGGGTAAGACCTGCTTTTCTTCTCTCTCTCTCTCTCTCTCTCTCTCTCTCTCTCTTTCTCTACCACTCTCCACAGAGTTAGTTACTCTTCCTGTAAATTTTCGTTGTTCCAGTTTAATTCCAGCGCAGCGCAGCGCGGAGGGTGCGTTTGACAGTGGGTTGTCGGGGTAATGAGAAATCCGGACGAGCGCCGCTAGGCGTTAACCGTATAGGCATCCGCCTCGCGGTGACGTTTTATCGTACCACGGCTTCTCAAACGCGCAACGCTTTGATTAAGATACGCTACGTTTATCGACAAAGATATCGCGATCAACTCGTTCCTGCTCGATTGCTGAATTTCCACGACAACGAAGGATTCGATGTAATTAAGCGGCAAAGTTGTTCGCATCCACGTTACGAACTAAAATATATGATATATTTCGTGGATGAAATTGAAAAGCGCGAGTATAATGCGAATACTGTAGAGATGTATGACGCTCGTTTTTCTCGAATTCACCGACGAAAAACGTTCCCGGAATTTCCCCTTTTTCCGCGCGACATAAGATACACTACGTGGCATATTCGACGTGCTCGTAACAAGTCGCTTAAAGTGATCTTATTATCGTAACCGCGCTACGTGTACGTGTTTGAAACTTGAACACACGTTCAGAGATGAAATTCCTTGGTAAAAATGGAAACGTACGTCGGTCGTTCGTTTCTTTCCTTTTCTTCTTCTTCTTCTTCTTCTTTTTTTTTTTTNTTTTTTTTTTTTTTACTTTTCTCGTCGCCGCTCCTCGCGACGAAATATAAATCTTACACATGGAGGGGACGCGTATTTTTTAATTCAACGCGATTAAATGTGTCGTTCGCGAAAAAGGGCGAAATTTCTTTCGAGTTTCGCGAGGGTTGTTCTTTTATTTCGCAGCGAGAACGAAATTCGCGGAAATTTTATACGGAAATAATTAAACTCGCCCCGGGGTCGAGTTACATCGTAGATCTAATTCGACGAGGCGCGCGCGCGCGTTTTGGCTAAACGAGCGTTGAACTTGAACGTCACAGAGAGCACACACGTTTTCCACCTTTCATCTTTCGTTTCCGACAAATACCCTCTTCGTTCATTAATTTCCACACTGTTCCCAACGCTATTCGATTCCACACATATTTTTCCATTCTGATGTAGTTTATCGTTCGAGATCGTCACGTAAACGCGTGTTAAACTTTTTATCGAATATAGCTAATAGGTTTACGCGATTCTTCTCTATCGTAATCGAATTTTTTTTTAATAACGCTCCATTGTTATGGAGCACAATCGCGGACAGAGAAACGGACAACGATCGATCCTTTTCCCCAGACTTTTTGCCAGACTTTCTTTCGACAGATCGAGTCGACGTCGTCCAGTGACGACGAGCGAACGACAAGGAAAACGCGTGTAATCGCGTCGCAATTTTGGAAAGGGTGTAGACTCTTTACGTCTTGGCGTAAAATTCGAGGCGGGCAAAAAAAGAGAGGGCGGTTTCGGTGGGTGAGGCGAGGCGAGGCCCGCTCTTTCTGTCAGGTGGCTGCCGCGGATGCGGAAGGCGGAGGGTTAGGCTAGATAGGCTGCAGCCGTTTCGTTTCTCTCTTCCCGTAGGTTTCATGGTTTGTAAATATTACCTGCCACGATACGTCTGCCGAGTTTATGCTTGGCTTGGTTGCCGCGTAACCGAGAGCCGTGTGATACGGGGGTGTATGGCAAGGCTGGAAACCCGCGCTGGAGGCAGAGAAAGAGGGTGGAAGGCAGAGGCGAACTCACCGAGTTTTTACCCCATTCTGGAGTCTGAGTGCCTCGCTCCGCTGACTCTCGAAACGGGTTGCACAGCCGGGTCCTACGCACACACACACACACACACACCATCACCATCACCACATTTTCCTTTCCACCCCTGCCTCTTTCGCCACCACCACCTCCTCTTCCTTTTCCACCGACTATAACTCCTCCTCCTCTCCCTCCCCCCTTCTAACCTGTCTTTTTCTCCGGCATCGGTTTCTCGTTCTGCATCCTTGCTCCGCACCCTCTTTCAACCCTCTTGCCAACCTTTCAGCCGGGACCATCGACTTACGCGGAACGTTAGCTCATGGCCGGATTGGGACAGCTTCGAGATTTCGAATAAGATACCGCGATCCTCACCCAAATCTTTAGATCCCAACCTCGAAACCTGCCCTTTCCCTATCGATTTGCAAATTTTTCTTGCGTCGACGTAGTCTATCAGAGGGGGGAAGGGGAGAGGAAAGAGAAGGTAGCGTCATGCGGATTTGCTATTAAGGTCGTATCCATCCTCGAATTCAATGTTGCCTCGATTCGTGAAAGAGGAGCGTTCGTTTTTTTCTTTCTTTTTCTTTTTCTCATTTCGACTTCGTTAGAAATAATACTCTAACCGGGGACACACAACAGAGTCTCTTTATCTTTGGGGACGGTTCTCGCGCGCCTAATTTGTGTTAGGTAATTAATACAACCCTCGTAGAACGCGGGATTCGTCACATCTGTTTTGTCGCACCCTCTCCCCTCTCCTTCCTCACTTTCAATTTTCATTCATACGATCTTTTCAAAAAGCTCGCGCGGATCTGTTGAGAGGCAGTGAGAGGGGGAGGAGGGGTGCGATCCTTCCTGCTATCGAGATTTTTCTTTTTCTTTTTTTTTTTCTTTTNTTTTTTTTTTTTTTTTCCTTTTTTTAATTAAGAGTCGAGCTCCGCTTCATTTCGAGTCCGTCACGCTTTTTATCCGGCTTTCAACCGTGAAAGTTGATTCCGCGGCGACGGGTATCAACATCTTGTAGTCGCACCCGCGACAAAGCCTCTACCCCGGATTTAATTCCGAGGTATCGCCGCCCTCCATTTTGCCTTACACCCTCGCCGCGCCACTTAACAACTTTTTTTTTCTTCTTCTTCCTTTCCTTCCTCTCCCTCCCTCCCTCTCTTTCTCTTTTCTTTTTTTTCCACCACTCGTGTCCTTAGCAAGCTTCTAGCGCGGAGACAATTATGTCGCGCGCAGACTGGCTTCAGGAACGGATTCGTGCCACCAAGAGAATACCTCGAATCGATATTACGAGATTTTTCATTGGGACGCGTCTATTTTTCTTTTTTTCTTTTTTTTTTTTTTTTTTTTGTATTTGTTTTAACATTGTTTCGAGAGGGAGATTTTATATATTGGAAATTGGGAGAATTATTTTATCGCGTTATATTCGTTTAAACGTTCTTGCATCGAATTGGATTTGATATTCCATTGATTTCTTTCTTTTTTTTTTTTTTTTTTTTCGACGCATAAAATATAATTCAATTATGCTTCGTAAATTTAATTTAGACAGAAATTGATGCAATTGATTATGGAAATATAAAAAAAATATAATTTCAAATTATTACCCTTATATACCTCGCGATCCAATTAACAAAATGCAAAAATGAAAATTGTTAATTATTAGCGGTAAAAGTAATTTGTAATTGGACGGAAATGAAATTTGGACGTATCGATCTAAACCGGACTCGAAAAAAAGGTTACACGGTAATTCAGAAATATAGGTGGGAAAATTTTTAGAAAACATTCCAATCTTCCACGCGCAAAACACCAGGTCTACCGTGTAGGCTTGTTACGTTTCCCATAGAGTGGGAAAATGGAATAATATATATATATATACATTGGTTGTTAACGTTGTGTTATCATAATTATATTAAACAAACATCACGCACGATATTCGGTACGATATTCGAGCTCTCGTTTCTCGTGAATTCCGGCATAGAATTTCGCTCTGTTCTCGTTTCTCTGCACGTGTTCGGGATCAACATTCTTAGACGACACGCGTACGACACAGATATATATATATATATATATATATATATATATACATATTCGGATCATACATTTGAATCGTAGTTTCGTATCGATTCGTATCGAAATAATTTGGTCTTTTTTGGTCCGGTGTGAAACGTCGATAAAAGTGGGGAATTTTGGTCACCTGTTCGTTTCCGTTAAAAATGGATCGTTGTTCGTTCGGGGGTAAAGCGTGGTGGGAGGAGGGGAAGAAAAAATATTCGATCTCTATCCTCGTCGGCCTCGGGCGACGTATCGGGCGGAAGACGAATTTGTCGAATTTTCCATCGAGTTCCGTCGTAATGAAATAACGAAATCGCGCCCGGCTTCCGCCGTTTAATTGATACGTCATGAATTTATGAGGGGATGGTGCGTGAAGCTACGTATGAAGCCCGGTTAATGAAGCTCCGTTTAACGTTATTACGTTTACCAAAGTTCGGTTATCGACGCTCCATATTGCACGGCTCCCTAACAATGAAACTGAACTGTTCGTTCATTAGCGTCCGAATAAAATCGATCGTTGCGTATTCATCTGATTTTCTCTTTACTTTATTTAAAAAAAAAAAAAAAAAAAAAAAAATCGAGAAAATCGAAGATAGAAATGGAAAATCGTTGAAGAAAGTTGAGGGAAATATTTCTTCGTCTCTCGCGTTTTTTTTTTTTTTTTTTTTTTTCTTTTTTTCTTTTCAGCTATCTACGCGGTTTTCAGAGGTTCTTTTTCGAGTGCGACGAATCCGACGCTTTCGAGACGCTCTTTTTTTCCAGCGGCTGTGTTGTTTGCGTGTTTCAGTGGTGAATCAGCGTTACGATCCGGAAGTGCAATGTCCCGGCGGTTTCCTCGGCAACAACGTGCTTATGCGATGCAACGTGCCCAGTTTCGTTCGCGATCACGTCACCATCACGTCTTGGCTTCAGGAGCCGTCTTTCAACATCTACCCCTCCACGATGGGAGGTGAGCGAGCACCCAACGATCTCCAACTTATCCTCTAACGACGCCTGCTCATAAATAAGAATGGGAAGAGGGACGAATTCTCGCGAGAAAGACAGAGAGAGATATCGACCCGTTCTCTCGCGACTTTATTCCGGAATCGAGTTCGACGGGGATAAAAATTGGATCGGAGAAGTGGAAATGGAGATGATTTTCGTTCGGAATGTTGGGGAAAAGTCGAAAAACCGGTCTCGAGTATCTCCTTGGACGTAACTTGGAGAGGATTCGAAGCTGGCCAACGTCACGTCTCCCGCAGATTACGGTGTCTCTCCTTTTTCTATCCTTTTCTGTTTCGCGACTCTCCCCTCTTCTATTCAGTTCGCTGCAAATTCGCGAAATCGGAAGAGAAACGTAGCTTTTTTTTTTTTTTTTTTTCTTTCGTTTCGAGGAATGTTTGAATCGAGAATTGTCGGTAGCAGCGAGGAAAATTTTCACCGCGGGTGCACGAAACGTTAACGAGGGGAAACTTGATTAATTATCAAGAAGTTGGATGCAGGTGTGCAACGCGGCTCCGAATGTGTTGGCTAATAAAGCAAAGTCGGATCTGTTAATATCGCTCGTCGATCGGAGCAAGGCGATCTATAGGCGACCAAACTTTCGCCGGGGAATGGGTTCGAAGTTGAACGAAACTCGCGGTGAAACGGAAGTGGAAAAGCCGGCGGAATTATTATCATTATCGTTCCTTGGGAATTTGAACTTGAAAATCTCTGAGTTATAATCGAATTAAATTTCAATTCCGAATTTATAACGGAGATCAAAGTCGGTTCCCGTTTCTGTACCCGCGTGATTTCTCTTCCCTCCGCAGATGGGAAGTACCACATGCTCTCGAGCGGGGAGCTCATGATATTGAACATCACGCGAGAGGACGCGGAAAGGACTTATCGGTGCAGGACGCATCACCGTTTGACGCAGGAAACGGTCGTCAGCAGCAACGTCGGCAGACTTCAATTGACCGGTGAGTACACGCTTAAAATTCGCTTTAATCGATTTAAGGATTCGAATCGGCTCTCCTTCGATCAATTCTTGGATCGTTTTGGAGATTTTTGGATAAAAATGTCGATTGTATTTCAAAGGTATAAGCGTCTCCTCTCTCGTTTCACGCAATAATTATATGGAATAAACGATTCAGGTTTATTAACAAACGAGAACGAGGGAACGAGGGAAGGAGGGACGTAACGCGAGTTGAATATTTTTCCTCCGTTTACGAAGCAAAGCTCAGCGAACGGAGGAGAGGAGGGGGAGGAGAAAAGGAAGAAAACGATATTTCCTATCCGTTAACACACTTTCTTTCCACCTCTTTCTCTCCCGTATCCCCCTTGAAAGCTTGCGCATCTTCCCTCCAAGCTTCGCCAGTTAACCTGACTAATAAAGTTTTAACGTGGGGCGAACAGCAGGGGGAGGATAAAGAGAAGGAGGATACTATTAATAAGACTATCGAAAAAAGGAAGAGGGGCATCGTTGTTGGAAGGTTCCCATCGACGCGGAAAAGAACTTTCGCCTTTTATCGCCTCGAGAGAATGGCGTGCGGATACTCGTGAACGGAAACTTATTATTGCAGCCGGATGCGATATTTACAAATTTCTCGCGAGGAGCGTTGAATATTTATGAGCCAGTTACCCTCGGCCGGGAGAGCGTCAGATGCTTTTGGATTTCTTTCCCCCCTCTTCTACCGACGATCCCTCCGGATCGTTTATCGAGGCCAAGCAAATCCAGGCCGAGCTCCTCCAAATGGGCGAATCTGTAATTGGACATAAAACGGTATCAGACCGCGGCTGTTTCTCACCCGATGATTCGTTCTTCTCTTTCTCTTCTTCTTCTTCTTGTTTTCCTCCTTAACGTGGCCAAGAGCACGGGTAGCCGTGGTTATTAAATTTTTTTTCAATAACAAAGTGGGGCAAGGCGGGCAAGAAAAACGGGACACTAACCGCTGCAGGACATTCTCTCGACCCTTTTTCTTTTCTTTTTTTTTTTTTCTTCTCGTACGCGAGGAGGAAAATTGAACTCGGCTTCGCCGATGACCCAGCGGTGGACTCTGGACTCTCGCCCGATTAAACGTTGGCTTCGATTATTGTTGGGGAAAACGTCGAGGAAAGTGGCTGACAGAAAAATAATCGAGGGAATTTTTCGGCTTGCTTCTTTTTCGTCGTTTGACAACGATCTTTCTTCTCGTCTCTCGTATGATAAATCGAGGGGATAAATAGCTCGGATCCTCTATTATTCTCGGATTTCAAGCTTCCATTTCCCTCGCCTCGAAACGCGTGCCTCTGTTGCGCAAACATCGGCGCGATGCCGTTACGAGTCCGCGATAAACTCGTCTCTCTCGTCGCCTTCCGATTCGATCTCGCGACGATGGATCGATCGATCGATCGATCGACGTGGAAGACGGAAGTGGGACGCGCGCGTGAATGGGTAAAAGTGGTTGCACGACGAAGCTTCGACGAAGCTTGAGGTCGTACGGCCGGGATCCAATTAAACGCCTTATTTCGCGTCAATCATCGCCAATAATCGATAACGCGATGGGATCGAAGATTGTTCCTTTGAAACGGAATAGATAAGAAGGAAAAGTGAAAAGATTATTCGACGAGTAACGTTAATTCCTAATCGGGAATAAAAAAATCCCACAAACGAATTTCGATACACGCTGATAATTAAAACGATCGATTCGATCGCGCGCGTTAATTTGGCGCACGTTAATCGTGCAAAAAAAAAAAAAAAGGGAGAAAAAAAAATGTCCCCTCCCCTATGGATTCGCAAAATCCATAAATTTCCACGACATCCGCGACATCCCATCCCCTCGACTTGGCGCGTGTCGCGTCGTCGAAGGGGTTAATGAGCCATCGGATGATCGGGGCCCGATCAAAGGAAAAATTCTCTTAGCCAAGGCGTAATTGGCAGGGGCTGTGCGATCGAGAGCGGAGTCTGAAAAGGTTTCCTCGAGTCTCTGGCATCGCTTGTTACCGAGGCGAGCCGTAACGTGTGCTTTGGTTCCGCGCCCGGCCACGAGCACCGCGGAGGAACGAGAGGGAAGGGGCGGAAAGGCGAAGGAGGCGAAAGCGGAGAAGGAGAGGAAGAAGAAGAAGAAGCGAGCGGAAAGGGGGAGGAGAAATCTCCACTCGAGCCGGGCTAACTAATGATGCTTCTCTTCACATGCCTAACCCTCCAGATTCGCGTTGAAGCTACGATGCGCGAGAAGAAGAAGAATAAAGAAGAATAAAGAAGAATAAAGAGAAGAAGGAACATTCTTCGTTACCGCTTTTCCCCTGGCACGTGACCGATCCTCCAAGCGTCATAATTCATCCTTCGTTTCCTATACGCGTTTTTTCTTCCTTTACTCCCTGCAGGAGCTTCCTTCTTTCTCTCTCTCTCTCTCTTCCATCGTTTCTCGATCGTTGGCTCCCTATATATATATATATCGACCTGTCATTCAGTCGATAAGTCTGCGCAGGCTGACGGGGAATAATTAATACACCGGCGGCTTAATCGCGAGCCACGGATACGCCGTCTCGTAATCAAGGCGAAGGTGAACGAAAGTGCGCTGAAAATTGGGTTCGCGAAATAAGCGAGTTACGCTTTATTTTATTTTTTTTTTTTCGATCCCTCCCGTACCAAAATTGTTATTTATGTTTAATCAAAGTTGTCACGTTATGCCGATTATTTCACGACAAATACCCGTCGGGGATAATAAAACAGCGCGTTTAAAAAATGCAAGATTGAACGCAACGCAAGATTCACGATTTATGGAATATATTCGCTGTATAAACTCGATTCTATTGCTTGGAGTATCGTGCCAAAAGGATGTTTAACCGAGACTGCGAAACACGTTCTCGACTACAGTCGGAGCGGTAACAATCTCTATGTTTCTCTCTGAATGGAGGAACGTGAGAGAGAGCATCGGATCGGGTATAAAAGAAACCTGGTTCCAAAGGCCACGCTCAGAGAGAGAGAGAGAGAGAGAGAGAGAGAGTGAGAACGGATGGTATTTAACGTTACACGTTTCATAGACGAAAATTGGGAACAGAGCGGCGAATCGATGGCCGCCGGGTTTATTTGCGAAGCGTGCATCTCTGCGGAGATTCCGCTTTAATGGAAGCGAGAGAGGGTCGTAGGCGAGGATCGTTTATCGCGATCGACGAACGTCCCCACGAGATATATCCCGAAACTGGGTGATGTTTACCTGACGGCCTGGATGGAAACTGACCGAATAGGAATGGAAAATTCCCGCATAACGATTGTTTAGAATTTCTAAACAAACACAATGCGCATCCACTACAGAACATTGTGCAAACGATGATTACCTATAACCGGATCGCAAATTATTATTAGCCCGTGCAGCATTAACACAGGTTACGTTACGCAGAAGCGCGAGTATCGCGTAATTGTTGCCTTTGCGTTGTACAAGATTTGTTTACAACAATCGCTTCCTCGTTTAATTCTCTCCGCAACCTCCGTTCCCTCTTTACACGTTGGCTGTATGCAACGCGTTGTATTTTTGCGCGAAACGGGTGAACGGGTTTAATTTATGGAAAATAATAATAATAATAATAATAATAACGAAGCGATTCGATTGGAATAATTTATGGTTTGTTCGTTTCTTTTTTTTTTTTTTTTTCTTTTTTTTATTTCGTACAACGAAGAACAATTTGGATTATCGGGGAGTAGAGAGGAGAAAGGAGGGGATGTATAACACGGAAGAGATAAAAGCGGACGAAATGGGAAAAGAGATTTTATCGTCGCTTTAGTTGCTCCATTCAGCGTTTCCGGTAATCATTGTGCGTATACGTAAACGAACGAAATTCGCCAAGTTCAAAATTACTCGAGACGTGAACGAAACTTTATTACAGACTGTAATTTTTCTAAGAGTATCAACGAGCGGACTGGCGCTGTGATCGTCGAAGCGTTCCTCGCTTCTGGCGGGGGCGCGTTACCCGTTAATTCCTCGAACGTTCTTCCACTTCTTTTCTCCCCCTCGACTCGTCCACTTCGTCCGCTTTATACTTGTCGCGTCTTATTCCTCGAAATCTCTCGTGAATGAATCGAGAGAACGAAAATTTTTCCTTTGAACGAAGTCGATTAAATTTTTCCCGCGACGGAGAGGGTTCCCTTTTGAAGTTTGGCGGGAAAAAAGAAAAAGAACGAGCTCGATTCTTTCGCGGGTTCCATCCGCATAATACAACAACAAGTACTTATCAACTTAATAATCAAGTTGCAGGGTGTGCCCGATCGTTTGCATATTAGACAATCGTCCATAGCCCTCCCTTGTGTCCCCGTTTCGAACACGGTGATAAATTAACATCGAGAGATACGCCATTTTTTCCCGGGGTAACGAGCAAACTTTTCGCAATTATCGTTCGCTACAGCTGGAAATTTTCGAATAACGCGTATCCCGATCATAGAGCGAAATAATCCCATTGAAATCAGGCCGCTTTTAATCGCGTCATCGCGCGAGATAAGAATCCGAACCCCTTTTATTTCAAGAGGGCGAGTTTTCGCTCATCGCGCCAATATCTTCTTTCCATCGCGGATATCGCGTAACGCGATTGCGGGTAATGCAGCAACAAACGCGCGGCCAGTTAATTCGCGGCGTAACGGGCGGATCGCGTGTCGCTCGATCGCGAAAAACGTCGGGCCAGTTATCGCGCGTGGATCGATGCGCGTGTAAAAGCTGCGAAACACGCGGGTTCGGTCGGATTTCGAGGGAAATAGGAGCGGGAAACAGAAGAGGTGGAGGAAGGTTAATGGCGCGATTTCGATCCGCGAAAAACGTTCCGCTTTAATTACACGGGCCCCTCGTTTTCATCGCAAATACGCTATCTCCGTTTCGTTGTAATATTCATTACCGCATTATTACCGATGTCGTTTGCCCGACTTTCTCTTCGCCGGTTGCGCCCCAAGCTAATTACGTTAATGAAATCTTAATGGAGCGAATGGGTTAATTGGCATTTTCATCGACACGCCGGATAATAAATAATATACATCGATTCCTTCGTTTTCGAGGCCGCGAACGGGAACGGATAGATCCTCTTCCTTAATGGTGCACGATGGCGATTTGAAATTCTCGGCGTGCAGCGATGAGATACGTAACACCGGTGGGTTATCTGTCCCTTTACGGTACGTCGCGAGTCCGCTATCTCCGACCATAATTCCCCATTAAACGCTGCCTTGACGCGCTCCTTTCCCCCTCTTCCTTCCCTTCATCCTCTCATTTTTCTTCCCTCCCCTTCTTTACGCCTCACCACGAAGAACCTTTGTTCCCGCGTTCCTTTTTCAGCCGACGGCTATTTATGATACGCCGTGGAAAACATTTCCCGTATATCATGGAACAAACTTACATGAACTCGTCCTGGGGGAGGAGGAGGAGGGGGAGGAGAAGGAGGAGGAGGAGAGGCACGGAAACGTAAGGGGGTGCGCTTTCTTCGGCCTTGCCGCAAACTAACCCACCGTTTCGCCGTGTGTCACGTACGTGTACGCGCACGCCTCGTACGTAGCGTGCGGCGAGGAAGAACGATCCGAACGATATCTCGCGCAGGACGTATTTCCACCTCTCGTTTCCTTCCCTCTCTTTTGTTAAATCTTCACCGATATTGTCACTATCAATTTTCCAAACAATGTAATCCAATACTTTCCTCCTCCCCCCTCCTCGCTTTTTCCACCTTATTTTCCACGTATCGTATTTTCCACCCTCGCGAGAAGAAAGAAAGAGAGAGAGAGAGAGAGAGAGGGAGGGAAAGAACGATACGTAACGATCGTCGTTAAAGAGAATTTCATTTCGTAATATACAGCGGTTGGCTTTTAATCCCAGCCCCCTATCCCTCCTCCCCTCTTCGTTTTATTAAACTCGACCTCCTTGGTCCTTCCGTTCGCAGCATCAGCACCATCCTCCTCCTCCTCGTCCCTTCACGTTTCACGTCCTCTCCCCTGCAGGAATATATTTCCCGCGCTCCCGTCGCGGGGAAAAACTTGGTCCAACCTGCGATCCCTCCGTGTGCCGAGTCGAAGGAAGAGGCTTTGTTCCTCCAGGGAACGGAATATCGCGAGAAATTATCACCAACCTCGCCGAGAAATTTCACGAGAATTTCGTTGGAAATTTTATCTTTTCCAGCCATGGGCGAGGCTGGCTCAGATATATATATATATATATGTATATATATGATCGTTTCACGTGTGTCGTTTCCATCCTCGCTATCATTACAGGATTTATCCGTTCTGGGTTTTTTCTGGTTGCAGAGATACGCAGCACCATGCCGCCGATGATAAACGAGAAGGTGGTTTATATGTCCGCGCGGCTGAAAGACACCGTCGTGATACCGTGCGTCGCGTACGGGAATCCAACCCCCACGAACAGGTAAGAACGTCACCAACGCGATATACGAATCTACGAATTTGTTGCTCTTTTGCGTTTTCCCATCGGTCCTCGTAAACTTCGGCGAATGGCGAAACTTGTCCGAAACGGATGGTCGGCCGACCACGATTCTCGATCCTCGAGCGAGATTCTCGAAAGCGTGACGCGCATCGATCCCGGATCCTTTATTCCGACCCGGTTTCGAGGCCGAATCTGCCGTTCCAGGGGGAGGCGGTTTGGTTTGGTTGGCCGCGCTTTCTCCTTGCATCTCGTTGTTTCACTTATCTTGATTACGAGATAGAGAGCGTCTTCTTGCTTTTATCGAAACGAGAAACGAGTTATTGATCCCTTTCGTTGAACGGAAAAAAAAAAGTCTCGTTTAATTCTTCTTCGTTCCCCTTAAAGTGAAAAACTTTAACTTTTTCTTTCTTTCTTTCTTTCTTTCTTTCTTTCTTTCTACGTCCTGTTTCTCGTGGAAATTGAAAGTATGTTCCCTTCGCTCGGGAAAAGAGAGAAGAGATGTAGAGAGAAATACGTTTGGCGGACGATTTTGCGGCGATGATCGGAATCGGGATACCGAAGAGACGATTCGTATGGAATTCGAAACGGAGCCGCGTTGGAGAAAGGAAAGGCGAAGCTTTGACCGAGAATCGAATACAACCCCCGTTCGACGAGGCAACAGAAGGATTTCCCGGCCGGGATGCGCTCCGTAATTGCCGACTTTCGCGAGACGGCGTATATACTCGAGTACGATTCACTTACGTGGCAAACAGTTTCCCGATACAACGAGGCGTGGGCGGCAGGGGTGGGGTATCGGAGAAGTTTAATTGGCTCGGCGGCTGGATAGGGAAGAGGAGGAGGAGGCTTTTCCCCTCCGTTGAAAAATATTTCGCCCCAAGTTGGCGCGCGTGCGGTCGTCCTCCCCTCGAGAGGGTAAGGTTCGCGAGAAAAGGTTTAAATATCGCGACACACCCCCCCACCCTCTGCGCCCGTCTCGTTTCAAATTGCTTTCTCTGTTCCGTTTCCTCCCTCGAGTAAACGGATGTTCCGCCGCGCAATTAACCGGTAAACGACCATTTACTTTTCGCCGTGGTCGAGGCGTTGCACAGCAGGGCAACACCAGACGCTAAATCGAGGAGGGCTCTTTCTGGATTAATAAGACGTCCGGTCGCTCGCTTTGGCCACCTCTTCCGTTAAAATTTCCTTCAAATAAATTGATGATTTGTAATTCTCTTCCGCCACGGCTGCGGCCATTCAAACGTAAAAATTTCTATTTCCGCGCCATCCGAGATCCGCCTCTTCATTCTCGAGTATGAAGAAGAAACGCTTATTTCGAGAGGAGTCTCGCGAACGGAAAGGGGGCTTTCGTTGATTCAACGAGGAGGAAAGCTGTACGCCGTTGTTTCGTCGCGATACGAAACGTGGCGGTGGTTTCAGGATTTTCACGATTTCGTTTGATAATAATAACGAAGCCGAAGGAAACGAGGGATCCTCGTGTTTCTCTTACATTAATGCTAATTTTCGAACGTGAAACGCGTGTTTCGTTTCGGTCGCGAAAGTATTTCCATCCAGTGAAAAGGCGAGAGACGCGCCTTTCTTCGTCAACGGGGTGGTATCCCGAAAAAAAAAGAGATGAAATCCGCGAGAAAGAGAAGAAAGAAACTTTGATCATTTTCGAAGGAGTTGGAATCGGAGAAGCACAGATTGGACGATCTTTCGCGGTGATACAACAGGCGTTTAAATTAAATTGAAAAGAAACAGGCGTGAAACCGGATAAAAATGGAATCGTTTATTCGGTTTACTCGGCCGATATTGACGAAGATTCGATTCTTCCTTAGGCGATTCTTCGCGAGTTACGAACTCTGAGTCCGGAAAACTCCTCTCTCTCTCTCTTCCTCTCCTCGATACATCGCGACCAATCCAATAAACTCGAGTGTATATAAGAAACCACGGGTATAATAGAGTCGTGGAATCACAAAGGGAAAACACGAACACAGGCGAACAAAGGAAAGGAAAGCCTCGATGAATTTTCTTTTCGTTGATCGTTTCGTTTCCCGTGCGGATTCGAGGAAAAGATAGAAAAAGATAGAAATAAGCCGCGGGAAGGGGTGAGCGGAAAAGACAAAGGAATCGCGTATTAATGTATTTATTATTCGATCCCGCGGCTCGAAACGGAACGAAAGGAGGAAAAAACGAGCTCTTCAGCGGTTTTCATATCGTACTCTCCTCTCATATCTCTTCAATCTCGACGAGATTATTAAACGCGAGACGAGCCAACGTGTCTTTTTCCTCTCCATCTCTCATCGCGTAATGGAAATTTCTCGCGTTCGCGTTCCAAGATCGTATCATCTCGAATCGCGATAATTCGTCTCGAAAATTCACAGGTCGCATACGCGACCTTCGTAGGATCGTTACAATAGCCGTACACAGGCATTGTCAGCTCGGCTATGCAAATTCGCACGGCGGAAGGTACAAACAACGAGATACCGGTTTATTACCAATTTCCTCCCCCTCCAGATGTTTGACATTCGAGTAATCAATCCCCCATTGACCCCCCCCCCCCTTTGATCGATACTCGCGGGAACGACGATTCACCGTCGGTGCATCGTCGCCTTCCAAGGAATTTCTCCATCCGTGGATAATAATCGATTAGCGGGAGAAAGGATGGGACGCGATACGAGGCGCGCACACGCATGACCGTGTGTGCGGATGTCGGGGATGCGGCAAGGTGAGGCCGTTCCAAGGTACATAGAAGCGAGGAGCGTGGTGTGGGTAGCGCAAACAAACCGACCGCTGATTACAGAGACTGCTTCTGACAGCCCATCAAATATTCCGCATTTACGTGTACGTCGACGTCACCGAGTATTCCGTGCTTGTGTTCGTCGTCTCCTTCTCTCGCCTCCATCTTCGTCCTCTGTCCCACCGCCTCTTCCGTTCAGTTGACTGAGTTGACGGAGGAGAGGCAGCATAGGGGGATAAGAGAGGGAGAGACAGAGAGAGAAACAGAGAGAGAGAGACAGAGAGAGAAACAGAGAGAGAGAGAGAGGGGATAAGCAAAAGGATCGGAGGGAGACGGATAACCGAAGGGAAGAGACAGGATAGAGGAGAGGGAGCCGTGGTCCATCCCTACCATCCCTATCTTTCCTTCCCTCCGCCAATTTCCCTCCGTAAATTCGATTATCTATAGGTATACTCCTCGTCGTCGACCGTGTCTCCTCTTCCCTCTTCTACCAGAGTCCGACGACTCTTCAACCTCGTCGGCGTCCTTCCTCTTACTCCCGCGAGCCCACCGACATGCCGAACCTTACACGCGCGCGTGCATGGGAGAAGGATAGAGGGAGGTCGATCACCGGCCGAGAAGGATAGAGCGGGGTGGCGAGAAGGGGTGGTGGGTGGAAGATCATTTTTGGACCGAGTGTACTACGAGGGTACTACGAGGTAGCATCCCTGGGGGATGCTACCTTAGCACCGAGATTGGATAGGCTGGAAAATATTCGACACTCCCGGCGGGGTCCTGGAGAGAGATTCCCGCGGCCCAGATTCCCAACTTTCCACGTTTTTCGTGGACCTGGCGATTTTCTTCGATCTTGCGAGGTCAGCCTAGGCGTCGCGATCCCCCTTCCCCTCCCCTGCTCCCGTTACCGAGATAAGGGACGAGGCGGTGCAAAAGTAAGTTTCCAAGAATAATATTTATCGGGGAGGGATAACGCGAAGGCAAATGGTCGAATCGCGGCAACTTAAGGGAACAAAATCAATAGCGACCGCGACGAAAACTTTATTTTCCAAGCTCGGCTCGGTAAATATTGACGCACCCGTTCGCGCGCGTTTCAACGTAACGCAAATGTTTTCCTTCGTTTTGCGCGTCGCTGCGAGCAATCGTCTAAAAAATGTCGCCCACGGGGGGGGGGGGCGTATTAATAACGGTGGTTAATTTTAGATCCGGAAACGGGAGTCGTCCCCACATCCCCCCCTTCCCAAGATCGAAGATTCGCTCGGTGTTTCGAGAGTTGGCGAGGTCAAAGGTCGCGCGTGCCCGCCGAACATCGATTCGATTATCCGGCCACGTCTACGCTTTTCACCATTTTCGGGAATTCGCGTACACGGCGCGTCCGCTCGCCTCGAAACCGACGCCTCTCCGTTCATCCCCTTTATTTAAAGATCCGCCTGTGTATCATAACGATTTTCGTCTGTATCCGATGCGCCGACCGCAGTTTATCCATCCGCTTGTTCGAGCGTTTTGAAAACGTGCCAGTGCGTCGAGGTACGCGTCGAGGGTTTTGCGAGGGTTCCTCGGTGGAAAACGCGCGCTCGGGGGAAGAGAAAGAGTGGAAAAGAAGAGGAAGGAAAACGAGGAGAGGGAGAGACGCGTGCACGGCACACAATTCACGGCGTTGTGCGTTGTGTGTATTCAGTGTTCCCAATGAAACAGTTGTTATTTTGTGGTCGGCGAGTGCAGCGGAGAGATACATTTGGTTGGAATGGAAAGGCTCGGTCGGATAGCGGAGCGGCGATATCGCCCTCTGTCCGATGCCAGCGTTTCTCGCTCCGCGCTGTTATTTTTCCCTCGCCGCAGCGAGCTGAATCTTGAGCAACGATCGAACGTAACGTAACGCTGTATCGTAGCGAGACGGGTGGGTTGTTCGGTTGGCTGGCTGGTTGGTCGGTTGGATGGTTGGATAGTTGGACGGTTGACTGCAACGACGGAGCGTTACGATTCATCGAGTCCGGCCAGTCAGTGGAGCGAGCGTACGCTCGAGTCGACAGTGGTATATCTCGTTCGCAATGAGACGGAATCTTCCGACGCGGGTGCCGCTCGTTGTTTCCCTCCTTTCCCCTGATTATCGACTCTCCCTTTCGCGAGGAAATGGAATTTAATTTAACGGGGGAAACCGTGGACACATGGATATTTCTATAAACAATATCGCGATATCTCGGCGTTCAAGGGGAGATTTACAGTTCAATCGACCGGTTGGCAAAATTCTAGGATAGAATTTTCGATCGCGACGCCGTTTCTTCACGATCCATGACACGAAACTCGTCGTTCCCTTTTGTCGCGAATCTCCCCCCTTCTTTCCCTTCCTAACGTTCCGATACTCGGGAAAATGCAGGGTGGATACGATATTCTTCTCATGTGGTTGTTCTGCCGCAGGTGGTACTACAATAGGAACCAGAGGGAGGAGCCGGTCGAGGATTCGTCCGGGCATTACGTGGTGCGAGACGGTTCGTTGATCATACAAGGCGTCCAGGAGAGCGACGGTGGATCGTACATGTGCACCGCTAGTAATTCCGAGGGCAGCGAGTCTATGGAAGTGAGGTTAACGGTGTCTGCGCCATTAAACGTGCACGTCCAACCATCGATCCAGACCGTTGATCTCGGGAAAGCCGCTCATTTGGTAATCGACATTCCTCTTCCCCTTCCCCCTCTTTATATTTATCCCCATATTTATCGCGAAATTTCAAACGTATTTCGTTCCCTTCCAACACATTTTTCTCCCGCGACGATGGCCAACCTCTAACTGAACGAACTAAGAAGAGAGCGGAAGAAAATGTATAAAGAGTAGATCAGAATCTCGAGGTTCGTCCATCGGTAAATTGTTCGCGATCCACGTTCCGGGATAATTCGATTTTTAGGAGGAGGAGGAGGAGGAGGCTCGCGTTTTTTCCCGCGCTCGTGGCAATCTCGTTTCCGAGGAAAGGAAAGGAAAAGGGAAAGGAAGCGCGTGAGATTGGAGGACACGGGGACCGTTCTCATCAAGCCCCTTTTTCTCTAAACTGCTTTTCAGACGTGCAGCGCAAGTGGATTTCCGCAGGCGGCGTTGTACTGGCTGAAGGACGGCCAGCCATTGAGAACGGGCGCTCGCATAAGGGCGGTTTCCAGGGAACGTATTTCCGTGATGTCGGTCGCAAGAGAGGATCGCGGCATGTACCAGTGCTTTGTGAGGAACGAGTATGAAATGGCTCAAGGAATCGCGGAATTGCGGCTGGGCGGTGAGTCTTTGTTTGCTTTTACCGTTTTCACGTTGCGCGCGCCAACCGAGAAAATGAAGAAAACGAACGAAAGGAAGAGAACAGGCTGGCCGAGCGAAAAATCGTTTCGTTTCGTTTCGGAGGATCGTTCGAACGGGGTATAGATATATTCGAGATTTAATTCCTTTGCGCGCGCAATCTTTTTCTTCTTCGCGCTGCGGGGTAAAAGGGGGGAGCTCGGCCCATCCAGTAATATCCATTATACCGTTTAAACGATTTTAAGCAACCCTCGTCCCACCTATCCCACCTGCCCACCCTCCCTCTTTCGTTGGAACAGAAACAGCTTAACGAACGTTCCGCGAAATGAAACGTTTAAGACACTCCGACGTGCCATCTAATGACATCGCGTCGCACAGTTTTCAATTGCTCCGCTCTAAAGTCTTCGTCCGCGCTATTAAAACTCGACCGCTCGTTAAATTCGCGAGAGCGAGGAATTTGCATTTTATCCCGGACATGGGCCGGGAGAGGGATCGGAGGGGCGGGGAGAAATCTCCCGTTCTTGAGGGATCGTTTTTCTTTCGAAAAATCCATCCATCGAGTTGCCGTGATTCCGGGAATATCTTGGAACTCGGTCCAACGGGGGGAGGGGTCTGTTCGAAAGACCGAAAGAGAGCACATCCATAAGGGGTTAGGGAAGAAGGGAGGACTTGTTTGTCGAGCGAATGGTTCCGCGGTGATAGGTTGCCGATGGTTAATGCAGTGGAACTCCTCCTCCTCCTCCTCCCCATACGATCCATTCCGGGTTTGCGTGCCACTCCATCGTAACGCGTTTTCCATCATCCCATCCTCCCCCTGGCTTTCCTCCGGCAAAGTACGTGCCATTTTTGCGCGAAAATGGCCACATCGTTCTCCCGATCCGTGCCTCGCCACGGAGACCGATGTTTGCCTGCCCGTTAATCGCACCCACCCTTCCATCCTCCACGATTTTAATTATCGAATCTCGATAGTCACGTACCTAATGCTCGATCCTTAAGGCGATTTCCATTCGTTTCCGATCGTTCGGATTACTGTTCGTATATATACATGTATATATATATATATATATATGTGTACGAGAGAACGTCAACTTGACGCGGAAAGCGTCGAAGCAAAGCAACGAATGCGCGATTCAAAGCTTCGAGGCGTTACGTTAAAACGTTAAAGTACTTCTCGCTCGTCGTCCTACAAAAAAAAAAAAAAAAGAAAAAAAAAAAAAAGACCTTTTCTTCTCCTCTCATCCGATGCCGGCACGATAAAGTGTGTCAAACGATTGCGATCGACCGTTCGTCGTCGTGGCCGTCTAGGCTCAGCGTCTCGCTCTCGCTGCTTTGCCTCTGTTGAAGCGCGACACCTCCCTCCCTCCCCCTCTGTTTCGTCATTTCGATGTAAAACAGCCGCCGTTGCGACCGAACGCGCCACCGTTTTTTCCGCAACTCTTGTTCTTTTTTTACTTTTCCCCCTCCTCCTCCCCCCTCCCCCCCCCCCTCCGCGCACGATCGACGCACGATACGTGTATCGATACCGGTCATATTTCGGTTCAGAGGCGGGGCCGCGAATGCTTTTTCCATTAACCGGGGCATCGAGCCTCGTTCGTTTCCCTCCGCGAACGGAGTTACGGTTCCGAAGATTTCAATTAAAACACTTTTAACCCGTGGCAGATTGCCTTTCGGCCGGCCCCGGGCACGGTTACAGGGAATAAAGTGTCCGTGGAGCGATTTCGCGCCCGGCCGAGCTTCCTCCGGCCGGCCGAGCGAGGCATCGAGGCCTCGTTTCACCCCCATTTTCGCGGCTATCCCACCGACCGAAACTCCCCGCCCCTCGTAACGTATTTTCCATCCTGCCGCGGGCATCACGCGCTATTTTTGCGCGAAAATGGCCTCGTTTGCTGTCCACCGCTCCATCCCGACGTGCCGCATTAATACACTATCGAGAACCACGCGATACCCGAATATCCCGGGAAACACAATCAAGCCAATTCACGGCGCCTGCATTTTTTCTCCTCTTCTTTTTTTCTTTTCTCTCTTTCTCTCTCTCTCTCTCTTTTTACAACGATTCGCGTGGAAACAAATCGCCGTTTTGTTCCGTCTCGTTTCGTCGTCGAATTTTCGAAAGTTCATCTTTTGACTTTCGATCGAACGGTTGTTTCTTTCTCCGTTGAAAGGAAGGAGTTTGATGTACTTTTCTTTTTTTTTTTTTTTTTTTTTTTTTTTTTTTTNCGAGGACGTCCTCGCCCTCCAAAGATTTCCTCCAACGATTTGTATCCGGTGATGAAACTTGCCACGTACTTTCCCCGCCATTAGCCACGCCAGCAACCCGGATGCCCGGTTGAAACTTGAAATTTTCTTTCCCACGGGCGAAAGAAACGTCGGCGGTGATTGACGTCGGTGGCCGAACGATACAATGGCGCCAGCCTTTCTTTCACCCTCGATCCGACAATCGAGCCTGGACGAGAGGGTATCGAGGAGAACTATTCTTTCCCCCTTCGCAACTGCCGCCCGCGTGGGGGTAATTGAAGAGGCGAAGGGGAGTGTGGGGCACTGCTCTTGGTGGCGGACCCGCTATAGAAACAAGAACAGGAGCAAACAACGGTAATGGATTCAACCTTTGAACGGCTCGCTCGCAATTGCATCTGGCCGCAATAACACGCCGCAACCGTCCGGTTAAGCGACTTTTCATTAGCCTTAAACGTGGCTACGATTTCTCCTTTTCCTTCTTTCTTTTTTCTTTTCTTTTTTTCCCTTCCACTTCGATCCTCGCTTTCGTTAAGTTTATGCATCATCGTTGATCGACGATCGAATTCGATCGAATAAATTCGAGAAATTCGACTCGACGAAAGAAGAGAGAGAGAGAGAGAGAGAGAGAGAATATAAAATTTCTCAGGTTCGAGAAAATCGTTTATCTCCGATTCGAATGAAGGCGATCAGCGACTCGGCCGATTTTCCACTATAGGAAAATTCGACGCCATTAGCCCCTGCCGTTTGAATTCTTCTCGGTCGCATGATTTCTAAGCTGCAGGGCGTACAGTGTACATTAGGTGGGGATTGCCCGCGGCACGATGGGATAGTTAGTACCGCCAGCCTGGATTTGCATACGCTAACGAGATTCCTGCGGTTTTGCCGATGCTTTGCATGCCGGCCGAGCACGATCCCGCTCCATCCTGCGCCACTGCCTGCGTCTATTTATTATGCGTCATAGATACGTCAGGGAAGAAGGCGCGTCACCAAGGCAAGAGGGAACGAGATACCCGTGGAAAATGGGGTTTGGAGAGCGAGAGGATCGTGGGTGTAGTTACTAGTTACCGCAAGTAGTCTCGAGAAGCGCGAATGTCGCGCGTCGTTCCCTCTATTAAACGTGTCGTTCAACTTGTAACGGCAAAATTCGCGGAACCGCATTTCCGCCAATTGCCTGCCAAATATTTACCAGCTATCGAATCTATGTATCTATCGTACACACTATATACCATATACGTGATATCTTTTCTTCTTTTTTCTTTTTTTTTTTTTTTGGGAGAGGGGTTATTGACATCGCGCGACTATGTATCTAATATTTATCGCCGCGGCGATATGCCTCGAGCCAATTGGATTTGGAATGTGGATATTCGAAACAAAGGGGCGCGATTAAACGGTCGAAACGAAATTCGGTTAACGAGCGGAGGAGATAAGAGTTCTGGCTGGGGAGGAAAGATTGGACATCGTGGTCGATAACAATAAGAACGGTTGGTTACGGTCGGATGAAGAGGAGGGGAAAAGGTGGGCCTTGAACAGAGTCGGAGAACGATGCACGTTTTCCTTTCCCGGGAAAGGGGGGCGGAAAATGAAGTTTCTCTACGAGGCGCGTCGGCCTCCGCAGATTTTTAATTTAAATTGCAATCACTCCCCCTCCGGCTAAGAGGCACGCTCGCGAGTACTGGTTATATTTGACGACAGCCTCGGCTATTATTTACACGGCGATTCTCGTTTTCTTTCCAGGCGAACGATAAACAAGCGGTCTACCCTGTTAACGTTTCATTAACATCAACCTCGTTCGCTGAACCGGCGCTTTTCCTGCGCGAAACTGTCTTATATTATAACGGGGCGGAGTTGGATTAAACTCTTAAACTGGAACGAGATTTTCAGAAATATTTCCTGCAATTTTTCTTTTCTTTTTTTTTTCATTCTTTTCCATTCTCGAAAAAAATCGCTCGAGAATGAATTCGAAATTCATCGTTGACCGTGTAATTTGCATAATTTTACGAAAAATAAATTTTACGAAAAAAAGAAGAGAAAATAGATTAACAAGAAGATGGAGGATTGTCTGTCGTGATTTTTCTCTCTTTCCACTCCCAGACGTCCGTTTCGAGCCACCTTGGTAAACAGGCAACCTCGAAACAGGACGCTTTTAAAGATTATTCCGCGCCCTCCAAGGACGCAAAGTTGCCCCGGCTTCGAAGGCGAAATAACGAGGCGGACTAATTGGACAGACGTAATTGTTAATTTACTAATAGCTTCCTAGGTCCGGCAGTCTTTTAATTATACGTTCTCGCACCGCCGTGATTTCGAATTTTCATTACGAAGTTTCTACGCTGCGCCACGATGAAACGAGATCATCCTTCCTTATGAACGATCACGAGGCAAACGAAATATCGCGATTCTTTTCGATTTCTTCGTTTCAAATAATTATCCAACGTATCTTCTCGAAATTGAACACTCTCGAGGAGTGTGATCTCTTTGACTCGTTCTTTCTAAGACGCAGCAATTATCCAAAGAAGAAGAAGAAATAAATCTTATCGGGAAATGGTTTCGAATTCAAACGCAAAGTTTGAATTCTCAAAAGAAAAAGAAAAGAAAGGAAGAAAGAAAAAAAAAAAAAAAGAAAAATATCGAGACGAGAAACAACCGCAAAATTCCCACTCGATGTTTTCCTCGTGACACCTCGTACAGAGCATCAAAGTTGTTACAACGGCGTGCAAGAATCAAGGTATGCATACGAAAAGTTGTAGGAAAGTCGGCTGTTATTTCGTAGCCGACGTGCTCGCGCTTATGAAGTTCATGAATTCATTACCGAGAGGGCTCGTTACGCGGGGTGGCACGTTCATTTAGAGCCCTTCTGGAACTGGAACGTATATGCCTGCGAACGCGCCACGGTTATTTTCAATGTTTCTTCGTTAAGTCGCGCTCCTCTTAATCCCTTCCCGGCTTCCATTAATCTTCGGGCCAATTATTTAATGGAAAATCCAGCCGCTTATTAAGGTCCACTTAATGAGAAGGGATGTGACGTATCGAGGGGATGGACGCCATCTTCTTTCCGTTTTCCAACGGAAAAACGTTATAAATTTTATCGCGAGTGTGACCCGGATACGTCCAATGGACGAATCAAAGATTCGTTCTAGGTCTTCCATCCGATCGAAATATCCATCTAATGAACTAGAAAAGAAAAAAAAGAAAAAAAGAAAGAGAAGAAAATCCCTCCGATTTTGTTTCGTATTTACTCTCCTCCCCCAATACGAATTTAATCCAGCGATCGAAGGTTGGGCAAGCAGCGCGAGGGTAGATCGACAGCACGAAGTCTATCTCGTAAATAAATAGCCGGATATTAGCGGAGTGGTGGGAGCGGCGGGGCAGAAATAGGTGGTAATTAGCGAAGGAGAGAATCGAGAGCTCGATCGAGGAAGAGGATTATAGGGGAGGAGGATCGTTGAGACGGATCGGATCAGAGAGAGAGAGAGGGAGAATGGGAGAAAAAGAAGGGGAAAGGTGGAGGACGCATCGGTTGGATATGGTTGGAGATACGTGTAATCCGTAGCGTAACGTCTGTTAACAGAGATCGCGCCGCAACTGGTCTACAGGTTTATCGAACAGACAATGCAAACCGGTCCATCGGTTTCTCTGAAATGCAGCGCCGCGGGTAATCCGACGCCGCAAATTTCCTGGCTGCTGGATGGATTTCCGCTTCCGCAAAACGACAGACTCCTGATTGGCCAGTACGTGACCGTGTACGGGGACGTAATATCGCACGTGAACATCTCGTCGGTGAAGTCCGAAGACGGGGGCGAGTACGAGTGCATCGCGAGCAGCCGCGCTGGCGAGGCGAGCCACTCGGCGAGGCTCAATATTTACGGTGAGTACTCCGTGAGAGGGAGAGAGAGAGAGAGAGGGTAAAGATTGTTAAGGAGAAGAATCGTCGACCGGTGTCGATTGAAATTGACTGGAAACCCCGGGGAATATTACGTTCCATCTCTCTCTCTCTCTCTCGTTTTTCCTTTCCCTCTCCGTTTCTCCGTGGCTCGAATCGATCGCCGGGAATATCGGCTCGATGGGATCCTTTGTCATTAACCACCACCACCGTTGGAGGGGCGATTTCTGTTAATTAAAAATTGGCTCGTAGCTTTTGTTTTATCAACGAATTTTTTTTTTCCTTTCTACTTTTTTTTTTTTTTTTTGGTTCCGCTCGCCGTATGCGAATGGCGAAATTCTCGCGTCGCGAAATTTCGTCGAAGATAGATTTGATAGGGTACGATATTAATGAGCGGGGGTTTAGTTTAAAAGTGAAAAGAGAGAAGAAGAAAAATAGCGAGCTTTATAATTTGATGACAATGGAAACACGGAGGATCGTGTCGAATGCGACGACATCGAGGGAGGGCGGGGAAATCGCTCGAAGCGAAATATATGTTTCGTTGCTTGTCAATCGCAGGTTTGCCATATGTCAGGCCCATGTCGACGGTTTCGGCGGTCGCTGGGAAACAGTTTCACATCAAATGCCCGGTCGCCGGTTATCCCATCGAATCGATCGTTTGGGAGAAAGGTGAGTATTAATCTCCCCTTCTGTCTTCCCTTGTACTCCTGTAAAAAAAAAAAAAAAAAAAAAAAAGAAAAAAAATATCCAGATACTTGCACGTCGATCGAGAAGGGCTCGACGAATCGTATTCGAGTTTATCTTATAAATTCCGTTCGATCGCGATCACGGGAGGGGAGAGAAATTGAGCGGTCACGTTGTTACCAGATGGAGTAAGGTTGCCCACAAACATGAGACAGAGGGTTGCGAACGGCAGCCTGTTCATCGATACGGTGCAACGAGCCGCCGATCAGGGCACGTACACGTGCACCGCTAGGAACAAGCATAATTTCACGTCTCAACGATCGGTAGAAGTGCGCGTTCTAGGTGAGTAAACTGCACACGAATATTTCCCGATACCGGTCTCTTTTGCAGGGTTTCGCAGAGCAGATGCCACGATATCCGAATACCCTATCGGTCACGCGCGGTACGTCGAGCCTGTACGATTTGCATAATTTCAGACGTTATATCGATTTAACGTAACGTAACGAGATTTATATATATATATAAGTGGATCTTTCGTATCTTTGCTTCTCTCTTTGCGAATGAAACAAAGTCCAAAACGATTCCAAAAGGAAATGGAGGATCTTCGAGTGAACGAACACCGCGTGTGACCGATTCGAGGTATCAAAGGCCGATTATCGACGGATAATCGGAACTGTGACATACCCGAAGTTACATCATCCCTTTGTTCCGCCTCCACCCCTACTCCTTTCCTCCTCTACTCCACGGTAATTTTCCATCCCTATGGCAATCGCATATTAATTACAATTCGTGTATGCATAACATCCCGGCGTGTTTGACGCGTGCCGCCAAATTTACCTTCGCACGATGTTTCTGTATTAGGTATTACGAGGCAAATTCCGTATACTCCATTGTTCCATCGTTGGCCGAGATTAGTTAACGCGGGGCAAGCGTCGTCGCTTCGGGTCTCCCGAGTCGTGTTTATCGAGTCGTGCGCGAATTTTCAAAATGGCGTAAAACAACCAGTTTTATCTCTTCTCGAAACGTTATCGTCCTTTAATTGCGTCGTCCTGCCCCCTTCTCCCGACGATCGAATTAAATTCGCGATATCTCGCGATCTTCCCCCGTTTTCTTCTTCCTCGTCCTCCCTCCTTTCCCTTTCTTATCTTATATTTTGGGACGGAAAACGTTTAAGGAAAACGGATCTCGGAGGGTTAAATTCGATTCGGAGCAAAACACTCGAGAGAGAGGATCGCGCGCAATTTAATAGACGTTGCCTGCCAACGATCCATCTATCGTACCTATGATCCCGGCCAAAGCGCGACAGAAGTTGGAGAAAAATTCGAGAAACTTGCCCTCAAAGTTTTCTCAAAGGATCTTCTCTCTCTTTGGTCGACGGTGGGGCGGGGAATATCTTATTGGCGCGACTCTTAATCGTGCACCTGCCTTGGAAATCGTATCGCGCTCCCTGCCAACCCACCCGCCATTTTGTATACTTTGAGAAAGTACTTAAAAGCGATCTCCACTCCGAGGGTCGAATAGGTAATCGCTTCTCTCCCGGGCTTGCTTCGCGTTTCCTCGCGAGGAGAGAGAGAGAGAGAGAGAGGAAAAAAAGACGAGGATAGGAAAAGGGATGGGAATTCGATTAAACGTCAAACCGAGTCAACGAAGGAGGTGATACGATGGAATCGATAATCCTCGTGCCAACGCCGAAGTTAATTAACTCTCTCACTCTCCCCTACATGATTTTCGACTCGTCGAGAAACCATTATTCGTCCTCCTCCTATTTACCTCGTATTTACCCCAACACGATGATAATCGCTTACCGAATCGATCGACGAATCGCGTCTTGCTATGTTCGATGATCGTCCATCATCGGAGCTACATGTACGCATACGCTGTGACCAGAGGAGACGATCGAAGGATCCGCACATAGAGAGTGTGCTTCTGTGAAAAACCGCGACGGAGCCAAGATCTGTGGAAAAAGATTCACGAAAAAACAATTTTCTCGACCAGGACGTTTCTTAGGATAGCTCCTTGCGTGTACGATCGTACGCGACCTAAGGGATCACGGTGCAACGTGTGTGTGTATATATATATATATATATACACACATATATATATATATACATAAATGTGCGCTAGAGTGTGCAATGTGTGCGTGTATATGCGTCTATCTCTATCTCTACCTCTATCTTTCTCTCTCTCTTTCTCTCTCTCTCAATCTATCTATCTCTCTTTCTATCTTCTTTATCCATCTTCTCTATATGTGCGTCAACGGATATCCGTGCGTTTGACAACACTCCGCGAACGAAGCCACGCACCAAGAGCACAGCACTTCACTGCATCGCTCAAGCATCTGTCCTTGCACGCGCTCGCCTAAAACTCCGCTCTCTGTATATTACGTTACGTACGTGTACTTTTGTACATAAAAATTCATAGCGCGCCGATCCCCGCGTACACCCCTCCCCCACGGGGTGTACGCGCGCGTGCACGTGCGCGCTCGCGCGATACACGGCCCCCTCCCTCCCCTTTAAAAAAAGGATCTCGTCGTTTAATCGCGTCGTGCATCGAGCCGGGGCGAAAGAAACGCTCGTGTGCCACGTCCAAGAAATTTTCTACCTTCTGCGCGAAGTATATATACATATATATATATATAAGAGATAACGTTCTGCCAAGCGAAAAATATCGCTGACCGGTTTAATATCGACGCGCCGTACTCGATATCCGTGATATTCGCGTGTTACGATGACTCGTTACGTATGAGAAACGCGCCATTCGTCCTTATTTATCGTATAAAAGATATAAGAAAGTTTACGATACGTTCTTTTTTTTTTTTTTTTTGGACAAATCGTAGAGCGAAAGGAGAGAATTTCTATCGTTGTTTCCTAAGAAGAATTTTTATATTGGAAATCGAGAGAAAATAAAAATTTCGATTCTCTGTATCCCCACGATCCTGTATAATTTATCGTTACGTTGAAGTATCGCGTAAGTCGAAATCCAGTTTAGTTTCTACAGATTTTCGATCGAGGTGACCGACGCTTTTCGATTTTTCGATGAACACGTTTAATCGACCGTTTAACTCGTCACGTTGAAAGCGAAATCGCTCGTTTCCCCGAACACGTTCCCCGAAATTTTCTAACGTACAAGAAGGAAGGAAGGAAAAAAAAAAAGAAAAGAAAAGAAAGGAAAGTGGATAAACGAAGCTGGCAGAGTACAGAGGGAGTTAGAACCGAGTTGGCGATCGAGTGGCGCGATTTCGCGAACTCGAGGGGGCCCCTGTTCTCGAACGCACGTGCACACGCTACTTGTACATAAATATGCTGTTGTCGAAGCATCGATATTCTATTAACGTGACTCGAGCCGCCGTTTCTTTCGCACAGCGATGCGCACTTCACCGGCCCCGAAAGCACCGCTTCGAAAACCCCGCTTCGTATTACCCTCCCTCCTCGTACGTACGTATTACCCACTCGTTGCTCAACAAGCTTCGATTTTCACCGGCAATTTTCATAATCGGGACCGAAAAAGGAACGCGCAGCACGGCGTGTGAAATCGCGTGACCCCGCCACCGTGTGTAAACGCGGTTGAATCACGGCACACGGCTCGAAAGCAATCAACCGGAGTGGTTGTAACCGATCGATTGTATTCCACGGGGCGAGAATTTGCCGCGATTCGTCGGCAGCGAAAGTCCGTTTATCGGCGCGCGATACCGCTTCGACGTGCCACCGCGAATTAATTGCGAAAGCTTGTCGACGGAGATATTCGACGAGCGGGCGGGGCCCAGGGAGGTGAGAGGAATCTTTGAAACGAGGTGAAAAAAGGAAAAAAAAAAAAAAAAAAAAAAANGATCGAGGGTGGGAGCGAGTCGAGTTCATTAATACGATCCGTGGCCGCGGCGAGGGTGAATTTTTCGCGAATTTCTCGTGGAAGGGGGGAGGAACACGCGGGGATGGAAAAGTGAAAACCGATCGACGAAAAATTGTACGCCGTGTCGGCCACGGTTAAATATCAATTACAGCCCTTGTTCCACCGCTAACGCCAGTTTATTCGTTCGAATCGTTGGTGGGGAAGAAGCGCGTTACAACAACGCGGGATACGATTATCGCGGGATCCGGCCGGGTCAGATCGGTTCGGGATATTAAAAAAAAAAAAAGAATGGGGAGGGAAGCCGGCTGGCTTTGTGAAACGGGGGAAACGCTGGAGAAAAATCGCGGGAACGAGCACCGAGTCAAAGAGATATAATTATCGGCTCGTGAATTGGATATGTAGTGATTTGAAAAAAGCAACGCGTTTAACAGCCGTTTCCTTTGATCACGCGATTTTCGTGGATTAACTCGACCGAATTAACGAAAACAACGCGAGCGAAAAGATTTTCGTCGAAAATCGGCACGTTTTTTTCCCCTTCTATGGGAGAAGGGGATTGTTTGCGATTATTTTTTGTTTGTTTGTTTGTTTGTTTCTTTCTTTTCTTCTTCGATGGATGACGAGGGGAACATAGCGAGAGAAGGCTTCCAAATTCCGGCGTACGGTGATCCAGCCAGTTAATTCTTAATTGAAGGGATTAAACGCGTGTTGCGTAACCGATCGAACCGGTTTGTTCATTGGATTTCGATAAAAAAAAAAAAAAAAGAGTAACTGCTACGCTCGCTTCATCCAATTAAACAAGTTATTCTACTGATATTGGATTAATTCGTAACGCCAGGATTGAAAAATTAGCGAGGGAAATCGAAGCTTTAAGAAAATATGGTTTGTAACGAAATCGGGATTAAAGGGAAAAATTGGTGCTTGCGCCGAGTGATGTTCGCAACGCGGATTCTATCTCTATCTCTTTCAAGCTCTTTGTTTCTATATAGATGACCGCAATTTCGTATGATTTCGTACGTATTTCTCGCGCATTAAGGACACTTGGATCGCGACGATCGAATGTCTAATCGAAATACGATCGATAAATGATCTTCTCTCGTTTAATTCGAATGTTCTTCGACGTTTGCGCCAAGTGTCTTAAATGCACAAGCTTCCTGTCTCGACCGGTGTTGCAGAATTCTCAACGTTTCCACGTTCGGGCGTTGTATAAATTCCACGACACCGGTGGACGATGAAAAAAAAAATCGTCCGTTCGACGTGTGTGCTCAACCCAAATTCTTTCTGTGTTCCATGAAAATATATCACTATCGTCCCATGATTATCATCGAACGCACACAAACAGTTTTAAATATATATATATAGATATTTATATATACATATAAATACGCGAATTCTCTATAGCGTTTTCTGAACCGCTTTTTACTGGAATGCCACCTTTTGTCTTTGTATTGTTCTTTCAGTGCCACCTAAAATCACGCCTTTCAGTTTTGCTCGCGATT